TGAAATTGTTTATAGCATACAAATAAAATATGGCAATATCAGATTTTTTTCAAAACTGTGCAGCCCTATTCCATTTAACTAAAACAAAATTACACTATTTTATAATGCTGTGTAAAAGTGCACTCACACTGCAACTAACATTCAGTAATTCTTTATTCATTAAACAATTAAAACTAAGCAGACAAGAAACAAAACAGTGGCTAAGACCTAACAGACAGGCATATATGAGATATTCAATGAGTACAACAATGCTACAACGGCACGCTGTCGTGTGCAGGGTTTGATGGGGAATTCGGAAAGCAGGAAGAGCTAATTACAGTCTGCTGTAACAATGTTAACGCCAGCATGTCTTTAAACGTAAGACACCCCGCTGGATGAAGAATAAAAGCAAACACAAATAACTAATTATGCCATCATCTTCTAGCTCGTTGCTGGCGCTCATTAATTGGTGACCTGCACTATTGGTCAGTAGACAATCGGCATGATGATGAAGCCAATTAGAGACAGAGAGTACACATGCCCCACAGAGCTTGTTATGGCTGCCACATCATGTCTCATCTAAATCAAAACAAATGCCGGGCAAACGTTGGCATGACAGCTGCGTCAGGCGCAGACATGGGACATCAGAGTACAGCCAACTTTCTCCCTCTCACCAGGCCCCTACAATAGCAGTTATTGTGGAGAAGACAGAGGCCTTACAGCAGAGTCTGTTTAATCTGCTTTAGTGTCTGACGGGGAACAAGCCAGAAATATTCTTGTCTGTTTACTGGAGACTTTCAGACTTTGGAAACATTAACACTTTGGCGGTTTGACTTGTTAAGCTTATAGATTAGGCATAATGATTTCAAGTCTGCATGAACTGGAAGCTGCAGTAATTTTTTGTTCATATTGTGACACAGTTACTAGAGAAATTAAATATTAAATGATAAAAAGGTGCGTGTGGCTTGTTTTGGTTTCTACTGCGAGCTGATTGGATGTTGTAAAATAAGCATTTCATTCAGAAAGATTGGTAACAGGGTTTCAGGAGAGTTATTACAACCTAAAAGGCACCTCCTCCTCACCATTTCTGTGGGTTGTCATCATAATGCTTTTAAATCTGACAGTTGGAGAGGCGTGGTTAAGTATATCAACCACGCATAATACCTCAGACATATGTAATCTGAGAATTTAACTGGAAACTGTTAGGAAGTGCATTTTTAGATTTTTAAGCAAAGATTACAAGGGCAAACATGCTTTATTTTTTTCTTGGCATGGCATGCACAGATAAAATGTTCTCCACAAAACTAGCATTTTGAGCTAATAAAATCTATTTGGTTTGTATTGAATTCAGGTGTACTTTATCAATATATGACGAAATTTTATAGCATTTATTAATGCTAGATAACATTGATTTCTTTCATTGTAAATACATTTTCAAATTGACTAAATTTAAAGTAGTAAATGAAGTAACTGATCTAAGGTATATTTATGTATTTTAGGGCTCCTCTTACGTTTTTTTTTTACTTTATTTTAATAAATGCAGGAATCCTAAAGATAATTTCAATACCTTTTTAAGACTTTTTAAAGACCTTCTCAAAATATTTTTAAACCTTATAGTCACTCCAAGTTCTAATCAGTAACAAACCTTTAACTTAATAAACAATTGTCATTAAACAGTTGTAGTTAAATAAATCAATGGAGTACAACAGAACTTAGAAGCTTGGAAGAACAAATTACGAGAACGTTTTCAGCAAGAGGGTTCAGCCCTGTTTAAACGCATCTTCCTCTAATCAGGAGTACGCAAATTTACATTTTCCGATTTTGCCGTCAGTTTCGCTTTATGGTTTCGCTACGTGGAGAGCATCACATTACCTTCATGCATTTGTTGCAAATTACACGACATTACCCGGATGGAGGAGCTTGGCTTGACCTATCCCAAACCAATTGAATGGATCATGCACGCTGTTGTTAATTTTAGGAGGAAAATAAATATATGTATGTTTTTTTTTTGGAGCTAAACACTTTGGACATCGCTTGAACAAAACCAAGACCTCATAAAAACGTGATTAAGACTTTTTAATACCTTTTAAGGGCCTTAATTTTCTTAATTGATTCATCAACTTTTAATACTTTTTAAGAGCCTACTCGCACTATGCTATTAGAACCGTGCCCAGGCCCATTTTCCGGATTGTTTGAGAATAGTGAGTGCTCTGAATCGGGCTCAGGCACATTTTAGTAGAGTGCGGTTCACTTGGCCTTTGGCATGGTACGCTTGTAGTGTAAGTGCAAACCGTGCCTGAGCCCGAAACTGAAGACAAGATGTGACTTTAATGGAACTGTTTCATATGGATTTATTAATCATTCTTACAGTTCAATGTATGCAAACTGTTGTAGATTTTTAAAGACACAAACCCCTCATTGCACGACAGCTTCACCTACAGCAAGTCCCTAATTCCTGCAGCACAAGGACTTTATAAATGTTTATGAGCATCACAAGTGGCTGATCTGTTCAGCAAAATATTTGACTGTGTCACTGCATCTTAAACAACTAAAACAATATGACTAAAGAAATCTCCACTGTGCTGAGCGAGAGCGCTTCCTGAACAGCACATCATCGAGGACGTAAGTGTGCTTAGGCGCGAATGTAATGTAAGTGCTGTCTGTCGGGGGAGGGGGGGCAAGCATGCTTCGGCCAGCATTAAGACAACTGTACATAGTGTGAGTACACCCTAAGACCCCGCGGACACCCTGTTTTACTTTTTAATTCAGCTGTCTAAGCGTAAAAAAGATTTGCAAAACTACACAACTGGTGCATCTTAAACTGTATACTTTCTTAATACTGTGTGTAGAATGTGAAAAAATTGTATGTGAGGTCATAGCATGCAATTCAGAGTAGTATACAATTCAGAGCATAAAAACCTACCATTTCCAAAACTCTGTACAATTGACTTAAGGCCAGCTTTTAGATGATAAATATGGCGGCCTATTTCAGCTGCCTTAAAATTGCAATGTGCCTTAACACACCTCTTTTCAGACCAGCATGCCCATGAGTGCATGAAGTGGCGCAAATGGATTTGCTATTTAAACAACGTTGCGCAAAACGTGAAAATGACTCATGCGCCAGGCAGAAAATGGCAACAAATCACACCCTACATCGGGTGTATAATAGGGCCCATATAGTTATAAAAAGATAGAAATCATAGAATAAAATGTAAAAAAAATACACTGTTCCTAATATTTGAAACACTACAAATGTATAATTACCAATAGATTGACGTGGACTGTAGGGCAGTAATACAGTATGTCTCTGCTTCAGAAATAAAAGCATAAACTTCTAAATTTTCATTCATTCATTTTCTTTTCGGCTTAGTTCCTTTATTAATCAGGGGTCGCAACAGTGGAATGAACTACCAACTTATCCAGCATATGTTTAACGCAGTGGATGCCTTTCCAGGTGCAACCCATCACTGGTAAACACCCATACACTCATTCACACACATACACGACGGTCAATTTAGTTTTTATAATTCAATTCACCTACACCGCATGTCTTTGGACTGTGGGGGAAACTGAGGCCCCCGAAGGACACCCACGCGAACATAGGTAGAAGATGCAAACTACACACAGAAATGCCAACTGACCCAGCCGGGGCTCGAACCAGCGACCTTGTTGCTGTTGGGCAATCATGCTACCCACTGCACCACTGTGACTCACTACTTTTAAACTTCTAAAATCTTCTTTTTTTTTTTTGCTGTGTGTACTCAATCCCCCAAAATACCACATAATGTCAAGCCTGCAAAAGGCAATTCCATTTTGAAAGAGAATATTTCATAGAAGATTTTTTACAAAAGATTTGGATTAGATGCAAACCCTGCAAAACTATAAACACTATCTAGGTCATTTATTGGAAGAGTTCGAGATATTTAGAGAGTTCACTGTACTTTTCAACAGTGCGGCCGCTAAGCATTAAATGCTGGAACTTTTTCAATAGCTGTGCTCAAAATGGATTTACTGTGGCATTTTGTTACCGTTTTAAAAGAAATTGTTTTATTTGTTTCACATGTGATCATTTATTCATCTCCATCACTCTCAAATCTGCATGTCCTGAAACGTCTCGTCTTATTTAAGCAGACAGGTTGCACAACACTTTATTTTCCATTTTCCAGTCATCTTTTCTCATTTTCCAACCGACAAACTATCCTCCAAATTAAAAACATGCCCGGATGAGGTTAACTCCTATGCATGCTTTTCAATCTTCAGTCGCTTTAATGCTGAAACAAAATAAGTGACTTCACCATCATTCTACTCTTTTTCTTTCTCTGTACACATGTATACACAACTCGCCGACCTGATTCAACCACAAGCTAAACATTTATGATTCTACAATTGCACAAAATCAAGCCATTCTTTCATAAACTCAAGTAGAGAGGTGGACGGAGATGTGCTTGAAAACTAGGGCTCTCAAATGCAAGAGAGAGAAATAATTGTGTGTGCGACGGATAATTAAGCGATAGTGACTGTCGTGAACGTGAGCTGTCAGTCCGATCGAGAGCGCTGTCACGCCACACGATGCAAGGCCGAGCGGACAGGCGCCGTCCACTTTGATCTGGGCTCATGCATACAGAAAGAGGTCAGGTCGTGGTCATTAAAAAGACCCTCCTCTAAACAGCCAGGCGAGAATGAAAGGCCACGTCTTCAAAGAGCTGCGTACAAGTAACCTCTTAAGAGTTTCTGACAATTTGCGGCGAACAAACAATGGAGGCTAAGAAGAAGTGGGATGGATTAGCTTACGGTGCCTTAGCCTTTTAAGTTCTTATAGTCATCCACACAGAAAGGGGAGGGTTACACAAATCATTCACATGGTCAGGGTGTCTAGTTATTCAGCCACGTTACATAAAGGAAAGATACTTAACCGGCTACTGAGTCACCTACTAAACCAGGCCGTTTTCTGTCGATTGGTAAAAGCTTTGATTCTGTAGTGTCATGCGACTCTGACTTTGTAGTAAATTGAAAGCACTTACTTGGTCATTTTTTGGCTTGACCACCTTCATGAAAGCTCCACGTGCTTGGGCCTCTGACCGCTCCCACTGGGTCACTCTCCTGGTGTCCAGGAACTTCAGATTTGTCAGCTTATGTAGTACAAAGTACCTACAGATCAAATTAAAAGTAGCAACACAAAGCAGATTTTTAGTAAACTGGATTACAGGTCACAAAAGCAATATGTTCTTGCTTTATAGAAGTTTACAGAACTTAGTTTTTAAACCTGAACAATTATAGTACATTTTGTACATTCAGAGATGTCTCTCTGCTATGGATGTGACAGATGTGAAATTGCCACTTGTGTGAATTTTATAAATCAAATATAATTGTTTGAAAACATTGACAGATACATTTTAGAGTATTTTTAAAGCACTGTAGAATACAAGCCTACACAAAAAAAATCGCAGAAACAGTTTTGCTATTTTGGCAAAAACTTAATTTGTTTCATGGCAAGGTTGGCATTTGCATGAAATTGCTCATATTCCATAAAAAAAAAAACGTTTACAATATCATGCTTACTAGTGCATAATTTTGCCTACTATCTGCTTTTGTAATGCTTATGGATACAAAACATCATTTACAAAAGTGTAAATGATCAAACCTTTTTAATTGCAATATATATATATATATATATATATATATATATATATATATATATATATATATATATATATATATATATATATATATATATTCTGTTGTGTATTTCTGTAATATTATTTTATATATTTTTTTCTTTTATATTATTTTAGCAGTACTTTAACGCGATGTAATGTGACCAGAAGCGTTGTTATCAGATGTTTTATTTTTCACTTCTGTTAAATTTATTTAGTTTATGTTGTAGATGAAACGAAATTGCCTAGAAATACAATATACATGTTAGGCTAAACACAATTCAAAGCAGATTCATTGTTTGGTAACAGTAAACCGCTACTTGCTTGTATCAAACTTGTCCTTACATCAAAACAACGTTGAAGTCAGTATGTTTGGTCGTTTACACTTAACAGCGTGTTTGTTGTTGCTGTTGAGTAATACTTTTGCACTCTCTCGTTTGATTTCCAGCGTGTCATCTTCTTCTATTGGATTGTCCCCTAAAGGCTGAATTACAGTCCTGCGCTACAGCGCCTTGTTAGTCAAACTGCGTTATTGCAGCCCCTTAGTTCAAGAGGTCCAAAAACAACTATATATTGTTTGACTCAACAAATCCTATAAATTTACCAGAATTCTAACCGGAAAATGAACAAACACATAAGCAAAAAGCAAAAATATATATATTCAATATAAACAAAATGTATTAAAAATAATAAATAATAAGCCTAAATAACTCAATAATTTGAAAGCTAAACTAAAACAACACTGTGTGCATTAAAAACATTGACGTTAACACATTTCAGATAATAAATTAACATGACTTATATTTAAATTATTATTATTATTATTATTATTATTATTATTATTATTATTATTATTATTATTATTATTATTATTATTGTTATTGTTATTATTATTATTATTATTGGTGCTTTTTAATATGCCTTGAGCAGGGTTGGGCAAAAATACATTGAAATCTTCATTCATTCATGTTCTTTTTGGCTTAGTCCTTTTTTAAAAAACGCAAACTCCACACAAAAAATGCCAACAGACCCAGCCGAGGCCCAAACCAGCGACCTTCTTGCTGTGAGGAGATTGTGCTACCCACTGCTCTAAATGTTTTTGCCACATACTGATTAACTATGTCAAGGTTTTAACTAACATTACAGATCAGCTACTGGCATTTTGAACAGCCAGTGAAGATTTGTAGGTATCGCCACTGTAGGACTTTTTTATTGTTTGTCTTATTTTCCTGTCTTATTTTGACTTGCTCCCGAAATTCACCCCTGCTATTTGTCTGTTACTTTCTTTTTTATGTGATGCATACTTTTCATCCATACTCCAAGCATTGATCAACGTCTTTAATATGAATTATTTTTTTAGTCTGATATCAAGCCTAGACAAATAACCAAAAAAGCACCAATCTGAGGCCACATTTTTACGAAGTCATTGTGTAGACTTCTTACAAAGTATTTTACAGTAAAAATACAAGTCATTAAAGTATTTTGATACGAAATATAAACCCATTTTCATAAACCCTATTAGATACAAATTACAAAATACTATTTTGTATTTAAAATCTGTAATACATGTACCATAAACACTACCCATCCCTGACCTTGAGTTTGTACAGTGCTGGGTAAAACTGCATTTTCTTATTGTGCACCTTGGGCATGGAATAATTAGCAAAAATATTTCAAACTAAATGAAATTGGTCTTTTGGTGAATTTTTTGTTGAGAGGATTGATGAATGTCTTGTATTTTAAAATTGTTTACTGTACGGCCGTTACCTTGGCCAGGTCTTTTTATAAAACAGATTTTAAATCCTAATGAGATTTCCAGGTTAATAATAACAATAATAAATAAATAAATAAATAAAGTCATATCATTTTTTTTTTTTTTGCATGTATGTATTTATTTATTTATTTATTTATTTATTTATTTATTTATTTATTTATTTATTTATTTATCTATTTATTTATTTGTTTGTTTGTTTGTTTGTTTGTTTATTTTATTATTATTTTGTACTTCAAATCAATAATACAGCTGTCATTATATTTTAGCAGTAATGTATTTTGCATGGAAAAGTTTGAAAACAACATTAAATACCTATATCCACCACAAGTTTACAAAGGAAAAACTGACTGTGGCACAAAGGCGACGAATCAAACTCAAATCTGCAAGACAACTACATAAAATAAATCTCAAACCAACACTCCCGTCAAAAGGCATTAAATTAACCGCAGCGGTGTTTGTAAATAGGTAATTAACTTCAAAATATGTAAAAATACGGACAACATACAAACAGATGAAAACCCCGCATTGACAGAATCTGCCAAGCTGTCATTCGCGCAGCTTCACAGATATCTCTTTACGCTTTCGCACACTCTCTGTCTTTCATTCAGCGAGAGAAAATGACGTGAGATAATAGCAGGAATACATAGATGACAACAGATTCTTTCACAGGCTGACTGGAATGGAGGAAGAAGCATGTCAAGACTTCAAACGGAGAGAGAGAGACAGAGAGAGACAGACAGACAGAAAGAGAGAGAGAGACACTAAGTGGAGGGTGTGAACAGATGTGTATATGGGCAGTGACAGATTCCCAACCGAGCTCTCATGCAAAAGCCAGCAACAAAGCCGTGATGATGACAATGATGAAGGACGAAGGCGAACCCATGCTACGTGTTTATTCCTGATGGATCACAGAGAACACAATTGCAGATTGATCCTATTAAGATAAGCCTGAATCCAAAACGTGCAGGGATGTGTTTTCCACCGCATCTATTCAGAGTTTATCTGTATTTGCATAAACAGGCCAGTCTGTCTCTTGTGCATGTGCTCACTCAAATGTGTACATCAGTACAGCAAAAACGCAGTACTGTAGATTAGCTGTAGATCAGTTGTCTGAAATACAGACGACAGATAGTTACTTGAGCAAAACTAACTTTTTATTTTGGTTTTACTTTTTATTTATTTTATTTTATTTTAATTTTACTATTTATTTATTTTTTTATTTTTTTTTGGGGGGGGGGTAATTTGAAATTAATGTAATGTTTTAACTAAATTATTATTATTATTATTATTATTATTATTATTGTATAAATGATATATATATATATATATATATATACACACAGTTGAAGTAAAAAATAAATAAATAAATATATATATATATTTAGTATTTAGTATTTCTATATACTGTACATACATGCATATATATATATATATATATATATATATATATATATATATATATATATATATATATATATATATATATATATATATATGTGTAATCTTTTAAAATTTTTAAAATAATTTTATTTATGAATTTTATGGTAAATTACAATAAAAAAAAAAAACAATTGAATTTTAAAAAGTATAGATAGTATCAATGTAAGCATGTACAATGAAATCAAACACCCCAGCATATAGGCACACAACGTCATAAGACGTGAATATAAGGTAAGATTTAGGTCATGACATCGAGTGACTAAAAATGAATGTCTAGCCAGCGTCTAAGGACAACATTACTTTGACATCCAATAACGACACTAAATGACGCTGATATTTGGTTGATTTTAGGTTGTGTTGAAGAGTGACCAGAATCCAACATCAGGCCAACATCTTAAACAAACGTCATATTGATGTCAAACACTGACATTTGTTCATCAGGCAACCAAAATCTAACGTCTGATAGATGTCAAAGTGGTAAAGTCCACAAAAAGTCAAGCTGTAACATCACTAGATGTTGATATTTGGTTGATTTTAGGTTGAACGTTGGACACTGACGTCAGCTTGACGTTGAGTTCTGAAGTCAACTCAATTTTAATTTCAAAGCAAAATGCCATGGCCCCTGACATTGGGGTACAACGTCAATCTGACGTCATGTTAATGTTCTGTGCCTGCTGGGACAACCCACTCTACTTTGAACTTAGGGAAGAAAAAGAATCAATTTGCTGGATCAATGACTATATTTGACAATTAAACAAGTTCTTGTGCATATTTCCGAAATGGGTCCCACATTTTGTTGTTAAACTAGTTAGATCAATCTTAAGACAAAGAAAAGGAAAAAGAGGACATCACAAATAGACTGCGTTGGGGTTGGAGGTTTCTAATACTTCCACCTAAGCAATATTAGTCGTTTGGCCAGAAGCACAATAAAAGCTATGCAATCAGATTGTATCTTTGTAAGATTATATGACATTGAAAAATTCCCAAAAGGATTTTCTTCAAGGGAAAGTTTTTTTTTTTTTTACTTAATTGAAATATTTCCCAAATAATGTTAAACCGAGCAAGACATTTTTTTTTCCATTGTATTTATTGTAATATTTTTTCTTTTAGAGAAAGTTTGATTTGTTTTATTTTAGCTAGAATAAAATAATTATTAATTTTTAAAAACCATTTTAAGGTCAATATTATTATCCCTCATACATATATATATTTTTTGATCTTCAACAGAACCAGCTGTCATTAGGTGTGAGATGTCATGGTTTTGGAAGCATCCGATAGAC